AGGCGAGAACAGATTCCACTAAATCATTCTCCAACCCCCACTTGTGCACACCACCTCACATTCATCATGCACAGTGTACAATAAACAAATGAGTAAATAAATAAATGGGGGTATAACAAGAAGAAATTATATTTTCCCATGCTATTTATGATGCAAAAAGTTGTCACTGCTTTGGAAAAGAGTTTATCATTTGCTCACAAAGTTAATTATGAAATAGTCATAGTTCCCTTTTAACCACACAAATTGTGTAATTGTGAAAACTGCAATCCAAGTAACTGATGTATGTAAATGTTATCCAGTTTTCATTCCATGGAATACTACTTTGAAATCAAAAGCAATAAACTCGGATACATGCATGCCACATGTAGCTGGACCATGAAAACATTATGCTAAGTTGAAGAATTCATATACAGAAGTCCATAGATGGTTCTGTTCACAGAAGTGTCCCCAGACATCTGTCCACAAAGCCACAGAGACAGTAGATTAGTGTTCTCTAGGGCCGGGGTTGGGGGGAGGAGAATGCGATTGACTCCAAATGGGCGCTGGATGATGAAAACCATCTGGAATTAGATGATAGTTTTGGTTCTACCACCTTGGAATAAATTAAAACCCACTGATTTGTGTATTTTAAGAGGATAACTCCTAAGCTGTGTGAATTAGGCATCAAGAATTCATAGATATGAAAGTAAAAAGAAAACTTGGAACAAAGGAAATGAAGATGAGGAAAGAAATACACACAGGGCTGAGTTCTGGCAGAGACTGTGCTTCTGTGACTCAGGGCACCCTAGCAACAAGTGCACAAAGCCTTGTGACACACTTTGGCAGTTGAGACTTCCATTAGGGGTTCTGTAGGAGTGCAGCTTCCCCTGAGGTACGCACTCAAGAAACAAGTTTCCTGTACTACTGGTATTTGTCTTTAGTTCAGAAAGTTCCACATAACTTAATTAACAGTGAACTTGTTGGCCCCTTTCACTGTGTTGTTATTTATGTACTATGCACACATCTTTAATGTGGTTACTTCATTTTATAGCTCACTAAGTGCCAGGCATTTTCCCCCAAAATGTGATCTCTAATTCTCCTTTGATTCTAATAGCTTTAAATAAGGTGTATGTTTCCATTTTGCACTGTTTCTCACACTTTGTCTTTAAACAGTTGGCTATTCCATTTTGTTCATTTCCATCTTGCTGTTTAAGCTGCTCATTTTGTATACTGCTATGTATTGGTCAAACTCCCTTTAAAAATTTAAGATTCTGAAAATTATAAGTGTATGTTATGTTAATGTATTATTTCACAAAAATGTGCCAAACCCAATCATATTAATTTCATCAAGAATAGTAAAGGTAACATGTATATAAGGTTAGCAGGCAGTGAGTATTCTGGCATGGTAAATGTTCTATCAACAAAGAGTAATTTTCAGCTTCTAGGTAAAATTTTAAATGCTTGTTGAATTTAAAATGTTCCATTCATAAAATTTACTGCCTAAAACTATAAAAAACCCAGAAAGCTGAAACACCACCAACCGTACAATAAAAGTCAAGTTGACATTGAGAGCAGGTCAGCCAAGATGAACAAATGAGTCTTGTAATTGCAGAGCAGAGTTCAAAAAAATTGGCCCTATCAAATAAGGAGGAAGAGGAAATGCCACTGACCTAAGGAGAGGTCATAGCTTAAGACTGCAATAAATACCCACTAGCTTTGTTCCTTCATTAGATGGCAGTTGCAGAACGTTTCAACAAATAACGTTAAAAGGGCACAATTATTTCCTGAGAACGATTTTAAGGAGTGCCGATAATCCTTAGCCTACATTGCATCCCAAGTTTTGTTTTGTTTTTAATCCATATGTGTATGATGTTTCCTCAACCATACTTTCAGCCTAGTTTCAATTTAGGAAAGCTCTTAGGTTAAAAAAAAAAAAAAGCTAGAATTAGCCAGTTGTATGTGTTGTCAACTCTTATGATTACACTCAAGACATATTGTGTGATACAGTTTCTTCATTTGATATTGCTGTAATGAGAAGGCAAAAATACGTATTTTACAAATATTTTTTGATGGAGACTTAAAGAACCACAGCCTAGATATATTACAGTGGTCTCCCTTTTGATTTAGTTCTGAATATCATGTCATCAAAGATGCTCACCTCTCAAGCATTTTGAGATTCTCCTATAGTTGTTGGCTAAGGAAGGACTAAACTTAATATTTTTTTGATTGTATTCTAGGTTCACCAGAAGATTGTTGCTCAAGTGATTCCATGTTCTGAAGACTTCATGGATGCTATCATATCAATAGACTCAATCTGTCACAAACCTACTGCAAGTGGACATAGATACGCACAACTTTGCAAAATAGGATTCAGATAGGACCAAAACATTGTAAGTAAATAGCACCCCTGATACAGACTAACATATGCAAACTGACCAAATTATCTTTATATTATATATATAGAGATTTGTTTCCTTTCAGTTTGTAGCAAGCAATTTTGACTGGCAAATGTATATTTATAGCATGGCCACAGACAGCAAACAATAAGAAAAATAAATATTACCAATTTGCATAAACAATAGGAGACAAAGTATGAAAATGATAGAGATGGAAGCTTGATTCTTTTCAAAGAACTAGGAAACCAGTTTCTATTTTGTTTCCTCCTACTGTGAAAGCAGGGGACCCAAGACCTAACTCTTTCTGATCTTCCTGGGTTCCCTGCAGCTTTGGCCATTATGAGAACAGGAGTTGTACAAAATGACTGAGGAAGCTTTCTGTCTGGGTTTCTGTCCTAACCTCTGACATGAATTTTTGGTAGTGGTGGTCAAGGTGAAGAGTATCAGATGTTCAAAGTGCAGGAAGCAAAGTCACTATCAATTAATGTCCCGTGAAGTTTCCATTGGAAGATCACACTTGTAAACTTCATGGAAATATTCTAGGTACTCAGATTGAGATGTAATCTAGAACTATAAACACTCTCGGTAGAGCAGTAATAAGAGAAATATAGTTCTTAAGTGTGGTTAGCTGGGCAACATCAACCCACTCAGAGAGAAATTCTCAGGATTTGTTAAGCATCTTGGGATAACAAAAGGTGTAGGAGTGGAGCAGTTAAACGTTCGTTCACAAGTATGTTTTATTCTGTAATAGATAACTGAGTCTTATTCTAGGGAAAACATTTGTTTATGTTTCTCAGGGGAAAGGAAAACTTTCTGTATTAAATTTTGCAATTATTTCGGCCCACTTCCAGGAGATTGTGTGACAAGTTGAGGAATCTATCCATAATATCCATGAAGTCTTCAGAGCATGAAAAGGCAAAGAAAAGAACAGGCAACAAGGCTAGTCTGAAGCCAGAGTACTTTCAAGTGTGTTAGTTTAGTTTTCCTTTCGTCTTCAACAAACACCTCTGTTCTTCGAGCTAGGAGATAATTAAACAAAAATGAACTTCACTTGGCTAATTTTGACCTTCTATGAGCTTCGGTATAGAATCCTCCTGATTTGATGCCCTGAGACCCGAGGCTTAAAGCTTAAGCCAATTGCTCCTTGTGGGAAAATCGAAATCCAAGCACAGGGAGTGCTCTATAGCATGTACTTTTCACCAAGGATGCCTTGTCTCTTTTCTCTCTGTTTATCCCCATTAAAAGGTGGTGAACTGTATGCAAAACAAAATGTAAGTTGATGAGAGGGCCTGAAGGGGTTAACGCCAAAGCAGATCAGCAAGCTGAAAAAACAAAAACAAACTAGCTAGTGAAAGCCCTTTAAAGTCCCCATAGGAAATTCAATGGGCCTCCTGTTCCTTTAAACTCTCGCTTTCCCGGCGGACACTTTACCAAACTGCAGTGGTGGCCGCTGGACCCTGCAGCGCAGAGCCACCTTCCACCACCCTCTGCGCGGGTCTGGGGTAGAAGTGCTTTTTACTGGGATGGGGGTGGGGTGGGGGAGTTGAATGTCAGAAACCAAAGCGACTCAGGTTTGATTTTTTTCTTTTTTCTTTTTTTTCACACCCCAGCAGTTGCCAGACCAGCCCTCTGCTAGGGATGAAATGTTATTAACCCGTTAGCGCCCAGGTTGAACCCAGGAGATTGTGGGCGCCAGCTGGGGTCTCACCC